TTGGTAGCCCTTCACCCTAGCATGCTACTGACCAAATATCATCTCCCTGGGCAGTTTGGTTATTGAGAAGAAGTTGTTTAAATTTTTTAACATATTTGACCCCTGTGACCTTGAAAATAGATGAAGGTCATTTATTTGAACAAACTTGGTAGCCCTTCATCCCAGTTTGCTTCTGGCCAAATATCATCACCCTAGGCCTTTCGGTTATTAAGAATATGTCGTTTAAAGTAAAATATTGACGCCGGACAGACGACGGACGGACAGACGGACGGACGACGGACGCCGCACCACAGCATAAGATCACTTGGCACTTCGTGCCAGGTGAGCTAAAAAAAAAAAGTAGTTTAGTTTGATAACATTGTCAAAAACTTGTTTATAAATTTTATTTTTGGTCCAAGGATCCCTTTCACTAAATCATGATAAGGTAATCCCTTCATCCATAAAACAAGCACATACAGGTAAGCCGGACCCAGATGCAAACCTGGTATCATGAGTGTATTTGTCCCTTCATATCAAACAATTTTATATCAGGTCAATGGTTAGGAATATCAACAGTTTCCATGTTATGTTAAACTCATGAATTCAGTTCCCAAGGGCAAGCCAGACTCTGAAGGCATTCAAAATTGTTCACACATTCTAACTCTTGATCTTCAACGGATGGACGACAGACAACGGACACCACCATACCACAAGCTCACAGACACTAAGTGCCAGGTACCGGTAAGCTGAAACTGTGTCACAATCGAATTTGCAAGTGACAGGAGTGATCTGGTATTGCGTTCTCACCTGCTGGCGGGGAAGTAGTTACCGAGGATGGAGCCCTGCTTAGATAGCTGGTCACGACGCTTGGCCGCTGACGGCTGAGTTCTTGCTTCTGTTTCAAAAATCTGCATGAAAATTTCAACAGATCTGATGTAAGCATGGAATTACCTCATTCAAATTATTAGCAGCTGTCATCCTCTACCAGTGATTAAGAATTCTTAAAAATGGTTCATTTTTTTAATTTTATTTTTTTAGAAAAACTAGAAATTCTCTGTAACAGCAAGGAATCAAAAAGAGAATGGAAAATGTATAAGATATCATAAAAAATAATTGTTGAATTTCCTTAAACAGGAATGTTTAAGTGTACCTTAAATTGTACTCGGCTGCAATTTGATTATGACCATTTCAAAATATATTTCATTTTAAGTTCTAATGGTTTCAGATCAAGAGCTGTAAATGAAATTGCTTTGTTTTTACCTTAGCTTACTAGATTAAACAGTAATAACCCGAAGATACAAAATAACTATACTAGGTATCAAAATCCAATCTACTTATGCCATGGTAATCAACATATTAAACCCCTATTCCCAGGAAGGCCTTGTCACAGTACATGTTTAGCATACATTGTGTAACAAAACAATTAATGTTGAAAATAACAAACTATAAACTAAAACAAGGTTAATTTTGCATTATTGAACAGAAAAAAAATCATAACAAAGGTTAATAACAGTGCTGGATCTACTGAAAACTAAGCCAGGCACTTTGCTACGTTATATAAAGCGGGCCTCAGTCCTGACATGTTTACTCCAGGCAAAAGGCCACCATGTGATGAACTTTCTTGCAGCCAATCAGAGAAAGGCGCCTGTGCTTGTTGATAAAAAAACATGATAGCTGCTGTTTCTTTGTTTTTCACGAGCAAACAAAGGACTGAAGTAGATTTGTTCTAACGTAGGAAAGTATGTGACCTAGTTTTACTAACAATTTCAAATCAACATAACTTGAAAAGCTGTAAGCATGCTGCTCAACTTGTGCTGTTTATCAGCTTGTTGTCAGTGTATTCTTATTGGCTATGGTTAATGGAAATCCATAATCTATGTCGACATTTCATCAATTTAAATCTGATTAATAAATTTGATTTTGAAGTAATGGATTTTGGTGTATAGCAAACTAAAGCGAATCGTCTTTTCAATTACTTGGGGTATTTTCACAGTAAGAAACTTAAACTTCTGGGGAGATGATTGAAATGAGAACAAATTTATAACTAGGTATAACTTATTGACCTCACGGTGGCTCCAGACCAAATAAATTCTTGATCATGATAACTGTGAGATGCTTCCAGCACAGCATGATTCAAAATTTGTATCATACACTAAATATCAACCTGTTAAAGTTTGCAAAATAATTATTCTATACTTCCAAGATTCTTAATTCAGCAATAAACATGCCAATCTCCTGTTAGCAGCTAAAATATAATCTTACGTTGTGTCAAATCCTTAAATGTACTGCTCAATTTTGGGTTGATAAGCATGTTTAAATCAATGTAACATGTATAACATATATAACAGTTTAATCAATGTGATCCCTGGTTCTAACAAAATATAGAAATATGTGAGAAACACACAGCCAAGCCTGCTTCACATGTCCGAGGAAATCTAGGGACACTTTGAGATGGAGATTATATATATGCTTAACATATATTCTCACAAGACTAGGATAAAAAACGTTTGTGAAATAAATGTTTTATTTAATTTTTTCATTTTTCATTTTTTTTTTTTTTTTAAATTACATAATTTTCTAATTTCAGGAAGGCAAAGCATCATTATATATCAGTCATGCTAGGGGTACAATTTCAGCATGTGCAACAAGCTTGGCTGTAAATACAGGTGTACAGCAAAATAAAACAAGCATGCAAAACTTCTAAACAAGAACCATAAGTATCCCAACTCAGTCAGTTCAGACAGGAGATATGTGGGCGGGGTTCTGAAAGAGGGGTGGGGCTCGGAAATACCTGGTGGAGTTCCTCACCCACGGAGGAGCCACTAAGATCCTCCTGGTTTACGATTGGTTAAAACAACAAACACACAGTATGTAAAGGGCAGCGAAGAAATACAGATCAATAAGACACACAGAAATATTATACAGAAAATTAATCATTAATTAATTACTGGTCATTAAAGTGAATCTTTTAGTATGAACTCTCTAAATTTGATAAGTACAGCTTGTTTGTATCGATAGGTAGGCCATGACGACGTCAGGGAAATTATACATCACCATGGAAACACCTTGTTTAGTGTTAGTAAGACTGAAGACATGGAAAAATTTAGTGACCTTTAGTTAAAACTGAAGAAATACCAAAGAAACTAAATTAAGAAAAAATACATATAATTGAAGAAGAAGACCAGAAAGGTCCGAAAATGTGCCTTATATAAGTTATAATGGTGGACAATGAATTTGTGCAACCATAATAAAAATAGTCTAGATGTGTATTAGAAAGATTACCTAAGCATCATAAGATGTAAGACTGATGTGTTAGAAAGTGTGATTTGAGGTAGTATAGGATTACTAGATAGAGCTCCTGTGATACTGTTAGTTAGGCTAGGGACTATGTCTAACATACACCTGTGTCCTCTTCACTCATTTATTTATTAACTGTTTATTTTTAATGGCTTGGCCGGGATTACACTTGTTTAATTATATATAGCCTTGTGTTTCCTGTCTTCAGATGAACTTTTATGCATACACTTATTTGTTTTTTTAACTCATTCACCCCTGAAATTTCATAATGAACTATTCCAACCTTTGAATTGGAAGAGTTCAAATGTGTCTTTAGGGGTGAATGAGTTAAATACAGTACATGATCATGAAATGATTTACCTGGATATTCAGAATTGAAAGTAGATAAGAATTTTCTGGGAAAACAAAAGAACCCTGTCTTTGATATCTATTTCATTCACATTGAACATCTGGTTCAGTATATTCAATAACAGAGTAACGAAATAACTATAACATTGGGTTTTCCCCCAGTTAAATGTTGGAATAATTTTCAAAACTACAAGGGTTTGGATTAGAAAAAACGCCCTGAAGACAGGAAACAATAAAATATTTAAATTCTTCAAGTTAGTTTTAAGGTAAATACATTAATTACAAAATTGTTAAGATATTAATGAAAGACTCCAAAGTTTGAGATTATTAACCACTTGGGTTCTGGCAATACAACTGATTCCTATATAACGGTGCAAATTATCAATAAAGCCTGGTTAGGATTATTTCTACAAAAAGCTTCCATTTATAGAAAATTCATAATAAAGCATTAAAATTTATATTTTTGCAGACAAAAACAAGTGTTTAGCTGCAATAGATTATTGAATACAAAGTGTTTCAGTTAATCAACATCTGATTTATGCAGTATGGGGTGTGATCAATATATAAGGGCCTGTTTTATTTAGTGGCTGATCATTGGGGTTTGTGAGCTCTCCTGTCTGAAGTTGACAAAGTGGTCTGTACCCGCCTTGTCTCCGCTTCATCCTTGTCATCCCGGAGTTGTTGGTTTATGTCCCTGAGAATAGAAACCAATAGGTTTTGTATTGTTTAATGTGACAAATGATATACTAGTACTGAACATCTCACGTTTATTCTATCAAAGTTAATCTTTGAATTCACCACAGTGATTTTTATAATGATGCAACACTTCACTAGTTTTCTTCCATAAATAGTTTTCTTCCATAAATAGTTTTCTTCTTTACATAGTGTCTTTCCTTCCGAAAATAATGGCTTTCCTTTCTAAAATAATCATTTTTCCTTTTGTAAAAAAGAAAACGTTTTTCTTTTCTAAAATAACAGTAACCTAATTCCTTATATAATGGATTACAGCTTATGTTACATTTCATAGGTTCATTTATATGTTCATACACCCTCGATTACCAGGGGCTACGCTCACTTTTCTCTCTGCACTCTTGGAATATGTCATAGCAAAATTGAAGGCTCAAGTTGTTTTATCCGAGACCAACCAAACAGCTATTTTCGTGCAGTCAATTTTGCTATGACAAGTTCCAAGGGTGCAGAGAGCGAAAGTGAGCGTAACTTGACCCCTGGATATCAAGGATTATGTCTACATAAATTAAAAAACACAAAAATAAAGTTCTAGTTAAGCAGTGGGGTCAATAAAACCTTGCAGAGGGTAACAAGATTTCCCTGAGGGAATCAAACCTCACAGAGGGTAACAAGACTTACCTGAGGGAATCAAACCTCACAGAGGGTAACAAGACTTACCTGAGGGAATCAAACCTCACAGAGGGTAACAAGACTTACCTGAGGGAATCAAACCTCACATCGGGTAACAAGACTTACCCGAGGGAATCAAACCTCACATCGGGTAACAAGACTTACCTGAGGGAATCAAACCTCACAGAGGGTAACAAGACTTACCTGAGGGAATCAAACCTCACAGAGGGTAACAAGACTTACCTGAGGGAATCAAACCTCACAGAGGGTAACAAGACTTACCTGAGGGAATCAAACCTCACAGAGGGTAACAAGACTTACCTGAGGGAATCAAACCTCACAGAGGGTAACAAGACTTACCTGAGGGAATCAAACCTCACAGAGGGTAACAAGACTTACCTGAGGGAATCAAACCTCACAGAGGGTAACAAGACTTACCTGAGGGAATCAAACCTCACAGAGGGTAACAAGACTTACCTGAGGGAATCAAACCTCACAGAGGGTAACAAGACTTACCTGAGGGAATCAAACCTCACAGAGGGTAACAAGACTTACCTGAGGGAATCAAACCTCACAGAGGGTAACAAGACTTACCTGAGGGAATCAAACCTCACAGAGGGTAACAAGACTTACCTGAGGGAATCAAACCTCACAGAGGGTAACAAGACTTACCTGAGGGAATCAAGCTGTTTGACAAGACTCTCTCTCTCCAGTGCAATACCCTCCGTCACCTTCAGCGCTGCCCTACAATAAGTAAACACCTCCGCATCAACACAAACAACAGTATAAAGAAATGTCATCCAAGTCTGTGACACCAGTAAGCCTCACTCACTAATGTATTTTTCGACACAGCGAAAAATATGCGTCCAAAATTTGTTGTAAGGTGAAACAATATTTCTTTTTCAAAATGACAAATAATTTTTCTGCCTGTATTACAAAAGGTCACCTGATACAAGCCAATTATATAAATCAGTATTTGCTTTAAGGTTGAATGCTACCTGATTGTGATAGCACTTTGGTATAGTTTTATTTATTGAATAATAATGCTACTTTTAATACTTTATTCAAGGGAGATAATTGTAACAAATTCACCAGTTATAATACTGAAGACTACGAAAACATAAAATAGACACATGACCTTATATAAGCCTGACCTATGACCTACCGTGCTCTCTCACGTTTCTCGTCCTTTGATACGTTGCGGAGCTGGTCTATGTAGGACTTGGACTCCTCTAGTCCTTCCTCAGACTTTTGCAGCATAATCTGGAGATCCTCCTTCTCCTGTGGGACACAACAGAACATCAGTAAAACAAACAAGAGGTATTGTGTGCCTGTAGCTTCTCCTGTGGGACACAACAGAACATCAGTTAAACAAACAAGAGGTATTGTGTGCCTGTAGCTTCTCCTGTAGGACACAACAGAACATCAGTAAAACAAACAAGAGGTATTGTGTGCCTGTAGCTTCTCCTGTGGGACACAACAAAGCATCAGTAAAACAAACAAGAGGTATTGTGTGCCTGTAGCTTCTCCTGTGACCAAGCACTGTGTTCACTGTACTGAAGTAAGATGTTATGCATGCTCTATGGCCACTGAAACCTTCAGGTCATTACTTTTAACTCACATTAAACGAACAAATAGTTTAAGATATAAAATTAAGCTTTTTCAGTGTTCACATCATTTGAATCAATACAATATTTTATTATTCAAAGAATTACCAGGCATGAAATTATTGTATTACTTGATAGCGAATTATTATCCCTCTGTACTTGGAATGCTCAAATGGTATTGGAAACAAACTTTCATCAGAAGGGATTTCACTGTCACTGTGCTACATTATGAATAAACAAGATGAAAATCAGGCCCATGTCGGACACTTTTCAATGCTTGTATTACCCTTTGCAGTTTTTCATTTTCTTGTTTTGTTTCACTTTCAGTCATGTTCAGCCTTGACAGTTTTTCCTCCATCTGAAAATAAAGTGAACTAATTAGATATCTGTACACAAAAATAAAGTGGACTAACTAAATATCTGTACACAAAAATAAAGTGGACTAATTAAATATCTGTACACAAAAATAAAGTGGACTAATTAAATATCTGTTCACAAAAATAAAGAGGACTAATCAAATATATGTTCACAAAAATAATAGATTTTGTTTAAACACGTATTGATAATTAACGAATCCTTCTTCCTGAAGCTGTCATATTAAACTGTGATCCTTGACCTAAAATGTTCAGTAAACCACGACCTTCAACTAGTGTTTAAGTGACAGTTCCTGTAGCTCTCTAGCTGACATATGAACTTTGACCTAACTTCTGGAGTCTAAGTAACAGTTCCTGAAGCTGTCAACTGGCCTATGAACTTTGACCTACCTACTGGTGTTTAAGTCACAGTTCGTAAAGCTCAGACTGATCCGTGAAGTTTGACATACCTCCTAGTCTTTGAGTAACAGTTCCTGGAACTGTCTGACCTATGAACTTTGACCTACCTCCTGGTGTTTCAGTAACAGTTCCTGGAGCTGTCTGACCTGTGAACTTTGACCTACCTCCTGGTGTTTAAGTAATAGTTCCTGGAACTGTCGGACCTGTGAACTTTGACCTACCTCCTAGTGTTTAAGCGACAGTTCCTGGAGCTGCATGTCTGACCAGTAAACTTTGACATACCTCCTGGTGTTTAAGTAACATTTCCTGGAGCTGTCTGACCAGTAAACTTTGACCTACCTCCTGGTGTTTAAGTAATAGATCCTGGAGCTGTTTATCTTTTTCTTTCATTTCTGCATCCATAGCTTCTTTGATCTGCTGTTCCTTCAACTGCTCCTAAAACAGAGCCAAGGTAACAATAAATCTATCTTTCTCTACATGGACTACAAGTTAGTGTTACATAACCGATCTTTAAAAGCTAAGTGCATCAAACAGGATATTAGGTTTATCAGCCCACTGACCTGTACAGTTATGTAGGGTGGAATGCTGGGGTAGGGAAGTGGAATAGGGCAGAGTTTTGTTGAGTATCAGGGCAAGAAGTGTGATATGGGACTTAGATTGAGAAAGAGGAGTGCAGGTGGTAACTGTGGGTGAGATATGGACCACCTTTGGGCAGCAGAGGGAAAGGGAGTGAAAGGTGCTTGCTCTCTAGGGCAGGAGGGGAAAAGGGAGTGAAAGGTGCTTACTCTCTAGGGCAGGAGGGAAAAAGGGGGTGAAAGGTGCTAACTCTCTAGGGAAGGAGGGGAAAAGGGGTTGAAAGGTGCTTACTCTCTAGGGCAGGAGGGGAAAAGGGGGTGAAAGGTGCTTACTCTCTAGGGCAGGAGGGGAAAAAGGAGTGAAAGGTGCTTACTCTCTAGGGCAGGAGTGGAAAAGGGAGTGAAAGGTGCTTACTCTCTAGGGCAGGAGTGGAAAAGGGAGTGAAAGGTGCTTACTCTCTAGGCCAGGAGGGGAAAAGGGA